CTATTTGCTCGTTAGAATGTTCTCGAAACTTTTTCCATCCTTGTTCTGAATCCACTATGACTTTCAGTGAACTTCAACTTTATTTCAATAGGAGACAGTGCATTTAGTACTCTGTACTGTACTCTGCCTACAGATGACTAGTGTGATTAGTCAAAATGCTACGCTTTATGGCACTGCTAAAGTTAAGATCGTTCAAAGTCATGGTTACGTTTGCCTCTTGAATTGTAAACATCATATTCCTAATACCAGATGACTGTCTGTCATGCTAAATGACTATTAGCGAACTAGTGACTACCTTGAATTCAGCTTTATAAATACTGCTGTTAACTCATTCACCGCCGTATCATGTGAGGTATTTCCTTTAGGAGCTTGCGGTCAATATTAGGTCCGTTGAGCCAACGAATATGGACCCTAACAACAATGGTGTTGAACCGTTCCGTAATGGGAGGGACCATTCGGGCAAGTTCTTTCGTTCGTTGAACGGTGAAACTGGATCATAATATGTGGAAAAAATAAGAGGGCACGGCGAGCATGATCTTCTTTTATCGGTGCTATGTTCGATCAGATAAACAGTTCTGGTGTGGTACGAGTGGTTCAGGCGTCTAGGCGCTCAACGGCAATTGCATTTTGGACGAAATGACGTCACATGGCGCTGAGGAACCGCCTCTAACTCCTGGTCTGAATGGCATACCTTGATTCTGTAATATTTAGATCTCGGTTCATTCCAGCAGTACGGAAGAGTGCAGGTTTAGAGGAATCGTATTTCGCTTCATTGACTCAAGGTGCTCAGTGATCTGACTATCAAACTGACATTTATTTCTGCGGCAAAAATCGATAGAATTAACCGAATGCCTTGAGGCTGCATGGTCGGGACAAGTTTTGCTGGTTCTTCAAGCATAACTATTGCTCTAAGCATTCAACTGTTGTTACTGACTGACAGATGAATAAGTTTCAGAGATTATCACTAATTAACTGCGAAATATTTCTTGCTCAGCCTCAGTCGACTTTTAAAATTTGTGTACTGCTGTCACCATTGACAGTCTGTCCTCCGTGTACATTATATCTACTGATGTACACAGGGGTCATATGAGTATTTTTCTTTTAAGTGGTAAATATCTACTGTTAAATAAAGCATTTGATCCTGAGTTTGCTTTAACTGTTGTGTGCCACGTTTCTTTAACTGTTTCCCCTTTCTTTAAGAGTAAGCCATGCTGAAATTGTGGAAGTGCTAAGTTTTGAAATAACATATCCTAAGGACCTTTCATGAATTTTGGAATGATCAATCAATGAGGCAGCATCAGTCGAGGCCTCATAGATTTTCCCATGCCTATCAAGTAATTCTGTGCTAATTTTACGTGCTATAGCTGCTAATTTAATCACACTGGATGATGCTGGAATTTCGAAGATTGGCCAGTCACACTAGCACTGATTTTAGGGGAGTTTCGCGTTTGCTCGGAATTATTCATTCTCAGGACTCTATTCATTAATAAATGCCTTTCGACCATTTGTTTACATAACCTACGTTCTGACGTTGGAGCCGTTCATTTCTAAGAGAACAGGACTAATGCTCTGAAGCTCGGACCAGTGACTACATGATGAGTAATGATAATATTTCTCATGATTTCATTGCGAAAGTAACCTTTAGGCAAACCGTAACTTTGATATTGTGGGGTCGGTAACACATAATAATTATAACTTTCTAATTCCGCCTGTAATAATAATATTTCAATTCCTGATACCGGGTATACAGGACAGAAGCGCACCTCCCTCTTGTTTCCAGTCGTCCAGAGTACTATTGAGTAGATCACAGTTCCATGGTATTTAAGCACCTGCAATGCCCTGAATGCACCACCGCATCATTGAGTTTGAATAAACAAGGGCGCGCTCAAGCACCAGCAGGATCTGCTGGATCTGCACTATCCATAGGCTCATATAGGAACAAAACGTAATCCATGGTGTCCATGGGTAGCCAGCTAATTGTAGCTTTCCAACGTTGTCGTAATCATAACATTTCAATTTCTGATACCGGATATATTCGTCGTAAGTGATGTTCCTCCATCTTCATTCTTCATTGTTCTTCACGTTCATTACCAAACTCAATGATTGGGCTGGTAAAATGCCTAACTTTGTTCTTAAAACCGAACAGGGCTCCATTTTTGTTTAGAGGGTAGGACGTTGGTCCTCAAACTGCTTCGAAATACCATCATTCGGTGTAATTACCAAAGATGACACGCCAATTCTTCTGTGTGGTTTGAAACCAGCATTTATCGCTCTGACAGTTCAGCTTGAGGTGCATAAGGAAGCCTGTGAACCACGATTCAAATATCCTCATTGGATTTCTGTGGTGTACGACAGGAACTTGTTTCCATTTTTTCCATTATAAGAAAACACTTCGTCATGCTTCTTGTGACATGCTTTCAGATGCCCTGTTTACCCGTCGCTTTTTTGAAAGACACTAGAAATAGATTTATGTGTTTTCTACCCATGGCGACAGCCGATTTCTCATGGCTACTTCGGATTTGTCTCTCTTCTTACAGTAAAAAAGTAATGGCGTTTTTTCTTGCTTAATTACGAGCAAGAAGCGTTGTTTTCCGTTATGTCACAAACCTTTTTGCCCATTGTTTAACATTTTGCTAAACTTTTCTGACCAAGTTGAATTTAGTTTCCCAAAGACTTTGGAGACTACTGTGGAATGAACGAGTGCAGTGATGAATGTAGCTATGCATTTCGACATTTAGACCCTTGCTGCCTATAAAATCTACCATGCTCTTTGGGCTTTCACAACATCTTGTATGCTTCGTATAAGACACCCAATAGAGCCATATTTTTCGGCATTGAACAGTTAATGATGCGGATTACAACACGATCTTACGCAAATTTAAATGAGGCACAGATCGTATTTCATCGTTTAAACCTCTAAAGATTGATGGGCGAAGGTTAATTTTATTTTTTTACAAAATAATCATTTAATTAATCGGTCCACGACTGCCATTAAGCGACAGTGTCGCGCTCTACACTTTCTCATCACTGTCACAGAGGAAGTGACTTCATTACCAGGCGAGCCTCGAAAAGCTCAGCCCTGGAACCCCGCCAATTAGCTGTAGAATGGTCCAGACTGTTTGTAATGGGCCACAGCCGCAGTTACCTTCTGAATGTGTGTTTGAGTAAACTAAGGATAGGGTCTGCTTAGCGCCATGAAAATCTCAGACTCTCTCAACATTTGCCCGAATTTGGAGCAGGTTGTCGTGCTAAGCGATATTAGCAAGAACAGAACACGGAAACTGAGCCTTCTGCGTGCTTTAGAGCGGACAGAGACAAAACCTATGGATCAGTGCCATTGGCTGACACTGTGGATCCAATTTTCAATTTTTGAAAAGTGTAATAATAAACGTTTGCCATTAGCCTGCAACTAGAGGCTAATCGATTAGCTACGGCTTATGGGAAAACTTCTCGTGAACGATGATAAAAGTTGGGGATAAAGAAAAAGGACTGTTGATAATCGTTTGTTAATTCCAGACGTTCACCAAAATTTCAAATGGCTTGTTAGTTCAATTCGCGACTACTGTTATTAGGTGCTAATTAACAAGAGGTGCTTCAAGGCAACGCGTGATTCTATGAGTAGTACCACACTTGAAACAGTGACATAACTTCGAAAGAGGAAAAAGAGCTACGAACTTACCTCAATTGGTATAGTTTCTTTTGTGTGCAAATAGTGTCCGGATTGCTGTGTTAACCTCACATCATACGCAAACATCGACCAACGTCCACCAACGGGTTTGTAGAAGGATTCCTCTTACCGTATTGTAAAATTTGACTTGACTTGAAGAGTGAGTAGTTGAATCTTCTTGTCAGTGAACAGAAGTAAGTTATAATTAGCGCTTACGTTGACAGCTATGTCTCAACATAGGCAGAAGTCAAAGCACAGAAAGCTTATCGATGTGAATTATTGTCACTCATAACCGCACTCGATAGTCAACTATGCAAATAGACGGCCGCTTCTAACGGTGCTGTCTACGAAGTATCTTCCCAGAGCAATGACACCAGCTAGTCAGGAACGAGCAGCAGCTGATAACCATCGGTCTGATAAGACTCTCTGATGAATTTAGAAATCCGAACTCATTTCATAACATTTCTTTAAAGAAGAATGAAGATATTTACAAAACTTTTCTCATGTGTGACCACCAGCTGTCCAAAGACGCGTTTGGAGCGATGCAAGGCGTGGAAACACGTCGTTGAGGCAGATGTGATGACGACGAGAAATTTGACCCTTGTCGCAGCAGTGAAGGGTTGACAAATATCAATCTGAGATATCATTTCTAAAGGTGATACATCATAATTCTTTATTACTCGGATGTTTAAATTATGTCAACATTGGATGATGACGACAGAGCAACAACAATGTGCATGGTACTACAAAATCTGTGCATAGTATTTCCAAATATTTCGCATTTCATGGCAGTTGCCTTGAGGAAACTCTAGAATGCAGTTGCTTGTTGGTTTTATTTGCTTAAGGTGTCCCCGAGGAACACTGTAAGTTGTTCAGAAGCGCATGCAGAGGAAATAATGAGAAGGTGTTGAAAACGTACATGTTCGAAAGGTGGAGATAAAATAATTATAGTATGGCATCAGCAGCGCAAATTCTGAGGCATGTTTGTCTCCTCTTGCAGCAAATGGCAGAATGCTTCATCTGTGAGCTTCCGTCAGGCAGAAAGTAAGCCTAAAATGTTCCTTGCTCATGTTAAAAAAATATGATTGATTGCCACGACTGCATAAGTGTCTAAAGAAATTAGGAAATTTTATGATGTGACTTTTCAGGAAATTCTTCAAGTCTTGCTCCTGCTGTTTCATGGATGTGGACAACCAAGTGTCCATCGCAGAGGGGCCCAGAGCTCAATAATTATTTTACGTCTTCTTCGGCCACATGCTTGTCCGCCGCGAAGCAGTATTTGCAGATGGCAGCTATTGGCAATCTTGAAAAGCAGCTTTTCAGACCTTGGCTGGACGAAACGCAGTCAAAATCAGGCCGATCATTGAATATACGAACGGGCAATTTGCAAATGGGCAGATTCGAATGCCGCTCTTTTAGCCCGGATCGCTCGAAAGAAGACATGGTGGAAATGTTGGCCACTAAAATAGGCAAAACGTCGGTTGGGCATCAGTGCATCTACTGTGGGAAACTGTACTCCCGAAAATACGGCCTGAAGATCCACTTGCGTACACATACCGGCTTTAAGCCGCTATCATGTAGCTTCTGCCATCGAGCTTTCGGAGATCCGAGCAACCTGAACAAGCACAAGCGACTGCATGCCGAAGGGAACGTCGAACGTAAGGGCGCATTCAAATGTTGCCACTGTGGCAAGTGCCTCTGTCGAAAGCGAGACCTCGATCGACACGTACTGTCCCGCCATACGCTGGACCCGTTGAAGCCGACGAAAACTGGATAGCGCTCGTTGACCATCGGCCGAAATAAGCGCG